TTGGGGGAACAGAACTGGCAAGCCTGATCTGGGGAGACTTCCAAGATTACATGTTCAGGTTAAGCTAAAGCCTCTTAGTACCTTTCTAGAGAATGGAAAAATGTGACCCTATCTATGAGGACAGATAGAAAAAAAGGCAAGCAAGCAATGACCTTCACTCAGCAAAAAGAAAAACTCCTGTCTTTGAAATAGCATTTTTTAGCAACAAACCTAGACTTTTTTGAGTAGCTTTTGACCTCTAGCCAAAAGTCTGTAGTCCCTAATCTTCAAGGATGAGCTAACCACCCCCACCTTCAATTGCAGCTGCATTCACACTTGGCAGGACTGGCCAAGCTTGAGCACCTACGACTAACCAATTATCTTACTTTATAGCTTCCTCATCCAATCCTAAATTGCCAAGACTACAACTTCAAATTTCCCGCAATTTTTCTTTTAAAAACCTAAAGGCCTTTGTCTCCCGGTGCCACTCTTTGCTGACCAGCAGGGGTGACCCCATTGTGCAATGGTTAATAAACCTCTTGCTTTTGCAACGAGTCTTGGTCTGGGGGAGTTTCTGGGAAGGGCGCGATCTTGAACTCCTGAGCTGTGAGACCCCAGGTCTTACAATCCGAGCAGGCAATGCCTTCCCCTCCCCTGCTTCCCCCCAGGCCTGGGACTTCCAGGGAATGGGTGTATTTTTCTCAGAAGCCCATTTTACCCACATCTCGGTCTGTTGTAAGAAGATGTATAAGATGCAGGACCGTGTGTAGGGATTTGAGTGCCCCCAAAGTTGACAAGTTTACTAGGTGAAAGGGCAATAGCATTCCCGGCATGCTCCCTTGGCAAGGAGGTCCCTCAGGCTGGAGGGACCAACTCGGCTTAGTCTTTACATCCTGCTTTAGGGTCTCTGAGCTGGCCCAGTTGGAGGGCCTATTGTTCTTGAAGTCCTATTTTGGAGGACCACAGTCAGTCCCTCCTAGCGCTAACCTCCTGCCTAAGAATCATAGACCTTCCCTCCTCCATAGCCCTTTAAAACTGCCTCCACCTTGAAGGGAGAATTGCTATCAGTCAGGGCCTCCCTTAGTTTTCTGCTTCAAGCCCACAAACTCACCTGCATGCATATTCTTCCTTCTCTTTATCAAAAGGAGTTGCAAGCTCATTCCCATCCTCCTTGTGCTTTTGGGCCACTGGCCTCCCCTGCTCCAAGGCTGACTTCTGTCTTGCACCTTCAGGTGATCACTGCTGAATCAACCGCATCTCTTCCATCTGGGCTCCTCTGTGGGTCCTACTTTCCCAGCATCCATTGCACCTTGGAGCTGTATTGAAGCAATTCCTAACTTAAGTCCCTGTGCCTTACACCTGGGTTCAGCATTGATTTCTCAGCTATTTCCCTAGCTCCCTTTTTGTCCCTTACAAATCCACTATCTGCAGACATATGCTTCACCTAAATGCACAGTTCTGACCAGGCCATTTCTCTATGTAAAGTCCTCACTACGGCCTGGAAAATGGCTTCCAGAGTGTTTGCCAGGCTTGGACTGAAGAGCTCAGTGGAGGCACGGAATCTCCAAGTCTAGCAGGCTGGTCGGACTAACCAAAACAGCAAGCTCCAGGTTCAGGGATAGACTGTTCCTCAATATACAAGATGGAGAGATATGGGGTGGGGGGGAGGGCACCCAATGTCAGCTTCAGATCTTCACATTCTCGTGTGCACGTGGACACGTGGACCTGAGTCCCTGCATACACGAATGCACATCACACACACAGCCATACGACCAGACCAGAAACACCAGAAACAAGCTTCATTAGCTTCCTCCTGGCCACAAAGAACTGGCCCACCTGTAAAAAGACCCCTGAAACTCTCGCCTAGCACCCCCTTTCCAGCTTTCGGTTCTCACCTCTCCTTAAGCCTCTAAACTGCTAAGGCCCTTTGCTTCCCTCTTTCTGAGCTCCTCTTCCCAACCTCTCCTCCCCCAGAGGCAGCTGAGACAGCATTTCTGGGCGGTTTAGCCATTTCTTGTTTCCCTCCTAAGGCTAATCCCTACCTCCCCCAGAGGATCCAAGCAGTCTAACAAACTTTAGCCACAGACCTCCCTGGATTAAGAACTACTTGTTTTTCAATGTCTTGAGGACAAAGTCTAAATTCCTCCCTAGGCTCTTGAAAGGGAGGAAGAGAGGATACCTCCCTCCCATACTCTCTTGCAGTGTGTTTGTATAGTGTGTGTGTGTGTGGGGGGGGGGGAGCCGAGTCAGCAGTGGAGACTGAGGCGGGAGGTGCATCTGAGGCAGATGCTTCTAAGGACTGTTCACTGCAGGGTGGTGGGTCGGGTAGGGAGTAGGGCCAGCACAGGCAGAGGGTGGTTTCACCTGTGGAGGATGTTTTGCCGAGAGCAAATGCATGGCTGAGGAGTAGAGGAACCTGACAAAGGGCCACAGAGTCTTAACCAGAAGTCAAGGGGGCTGAAGACAGCAGGACAAAGTGTCTTCAAGAAGGGATAGCTTTGGAGAGAACAGGGGAGCTAGCGAGTGGGCTGCTGTTGGTGATGTGGACCAGGCAGAAGTTGAGTGAAATGTTTGGAGCAAGGTGGAGGAAGGCAGGAACAGGCTACTTTAGCAGTGGAAGCAAGCGGTAGGTGTAGCGCTGGCTCCAGAACCTGCCTCATGCTATGGTCAGGAGGGTAGATGGCTGACCTCTGTGTTAGGGAGCAGGACATCTGGAGCACATGCTTTATTCTCTCCCTCACATCCTTCCCCAGGAGACGGACACCACTGCCACATGCTCAGTGAGAGTCTAAGCTGTGTGTCTTAGACTGCTTCCTGTCTTCTATGCCTCCATGTTTCTGATTGCCTTCAGTGTCTTCAAAGAAGTATTAAAAAGAGACCAGGCCTGTCTCAGTCAGAGGGAAAAGGGACCCCTCACTTAGCCCGGGGAGGAAGGATGTTCTGTGGCCCTCTTGCTTCCCAGGAATTGGTCTAGGGCTGCAAATCTTGGGAACCCAGGGAGAGTGAGGATTCCTCAGGGAGAGAAATAAGGGTCTCAGGAGAAAAGGACCCTGTGTATAGTGGCCTGACTTCCCTTCCCGGTGAAAGGTGGATCCCACCTTCCCAACTGACAGTGCCTCAGCCACTTAACAGGAGCCCCTGCAGCTTGCTAGATTCTTGTTGGGAATGAAAGATACATAGAAAACCAAAAACAAAACAAACACTGCAGGGATGAGCCCTCACTGAGTCTCCTCAGACATATCAAGAGCTGTGAGTTAGCCTCTGCAACTGAGGGTGCTGTGGGCACCAAAAAAGAGCAAGCCACTGACTTAAGAGAAGAGGGTCGAGGGGGTGACTCCCCAGAGAACATGGCTCCCCAGAGAAAGGAATCTTAAGGGGTAAGAAGGATGGGAAGCAGGATGAGTGAGGGGATGCCGAAAACATGTGGAAAGAGTTTGGTGTGGCTGGTCCACGAGGCTGAGAGAACACCACCACATGATATTAGGAAAAATTTTAAAGTAAAAATTTAAGGTGGATCTTCATTCTAGTATTACCATGATCACTCTGGCTCAAGCATATGTGACAGAAGAAGGTGGACTTGAGGACAACAGAACAAAAATCATAGTGTGGAGGACAACCAGGACCAAGTCCCTGCTAAAGAATAAGGATGTGTGTTATCAGTCTATGGGGGCCTCAGAGATGCGTTATCATTGGTCTTGGGAGAGGGACCAGTGAGAGGACCTCTACTGTCCAGGCCCATACTGAGGTCTCGGACTTCGATGATGGCTGACCGGTGGCCCCTTCAGTCCAGCTGTAGGAACTCGTAAGATTGACAGCAGCGATCCCATTTTGAATGTGTGGAGGGACGGAGCTCCACGGAGCATTCAGGAGATGGGTTCCTGCTGCTCTGGGTGTCCGGGGATGTGTGTTTTCCTCTCCTAGTTCGGCTCACCTGGCCCGCCTCTCAGTTGGCAGAGTTTGCAGCCCCCTTCCCCTGCCCACCAGCCCCGCACCTCTCCAGGAGACACTGTCTGCTGAAAGCAACTTTTCTTCATCAGAACCTGCAGCTCTGTGTTCCTCCTTTCCGCTTAGCAGAAAGCATGCTTTCTGGAGGAGAGCACAGCAGACTTAAGGGCGGTTGTGACCCTGCCCTGCCCATTTGAGTTGCCGCTTAGAGGTACATTCTTTGATATGGAGATTGGCCTAATGGCTAATTGTAAATCAGGGTTGTCTCCTTTTATTATGGAAATGGAGCCTAATTGGAGGTCAATCTTGGTAAATAATTAGCAGAAACATTATCAGGGAGCCTAAATTTCAAAAGTGGTACAGAATTTTCTTTCTCGAAGTTTGCCAGCCTGGTTAGTGTACTTATCTTCCAGTCACTGGAAGCGGTGCTCCTTCTTTAGCTAAATTCCACTTTGTGTAACTTACTATTTCCTAAGTAAGTTTATTAATAAATCCTTTAAAGCTCCAATTTTACTACTTCAAGTTTCTCCTGCATCAGTGTCATTCAGGAGACAGATAATCTGCACCTTGTGTAGCAGGAAGTGACAAAAGCAATAACTTGCATCTTTGTCACCTGGAAACACAACGCAGACTTACTGCCTCAGAAGGGCTGGAACCCAGACGCAGAGCCCACAGGGATTACAGGCTGGTTTTGTTTCATAGGTAGGGGAGGAAGACACGTCCCCCAAGGCTTCCCTCAGGGACTCCACAGAAGGCAGGCTATATATAAAGCAGGGGGCACACTTCCAGAGAAACACTCACCAGTTCCTGAGGTTAAATCTCCCCTTGAGCTAGTAAATGAACAAACATGAATGACTGGGGCCAGAAACCCACTGTCTTCTGAAACCTGTGTAATCCTCTTGACCCTTCCCCCCTCTCTCATGAGAAGAGAAACCCCAGGTCTGACTGAAGACACCATTATGGCACCTGGGATAAGGGTCTCAGCCTGGGATGAGGGTCTCTGAGGTGAGAAGGGCAGGTGAGGACAACAACAATAGTCGCCTTTGCATTCAACATTTGCCAGGAGCCCAGTCATCTCCCCTCAGGTGGCATTTAATCCTAAGAATCAATGGCAACACCGTTCTAAGAAACTAAAGCAGAAGAGGCTGAGTTACCTCACCCAGGCCCCGGGTGCTAGGTTACAAGGTCAAAGGTGTTTCCTGTCCAGGTCCATCTCATCAGGAAGCCATTTCCCATGTCACTCTTTCTGAAGAGCAATTACTGGTGTAGTCACGGAGAGGCAACAGTCACTTCCATGGAGACCCTTGATGATGTCATAGGGCGAGGCTGGAGCTGTAGAGTCTCAGAAATATGGGTCAAGTCTTCAGGGATTCCAGATGAATGTCGCTTAGAGACTCCAGAACCAGGCAGCGAGCACGACAGTCCATAAGGCACAAACAGCCCCAAGGAGGCATCACTCACCTTCTCATGGTGTGGATGTATGGGTACACATGAGCTCCTAATCACATGTTATGCCATGCCATGGCAGGGGGCACACATACATGCATGCACCTGTGCATGTCCTGAGACAAGTTCTGGGGACACTGAGGCAGTTCCTGGGAAGAAGGACTCCATCTCCGTCAGATGAGGCTGGCAATGCTGGAGGTGGTCTCATGACGCTGGCCAGAGGACAGCTGTCCGGAGATGCTAAAGATGCTGCTGTTACCACCGTGCTCATTTTGGGTGGTGGCTGCATCTGTACAGATTGGGGGGCAGTGTCCACTCACACCCACCTGATACAGTAGCAAACCCAGCAGCAAGACTGAGCCCAAGGAAGCCAGGGTAATGCCCACAGACAGCATGGCAGCCAGTGGCCGAGCTGGGGCTGGGGCAGCAGCCAGCCCAGCCAGGGTCAGGCCAGTGACCAGCAGCACAAAACCACTGAGCAGTACCACAACGGCATCGGCCCCTCCGCCGCTGCGCAGCAAGGCCACATGCTGGGCCTGGCGGATGCAGTTCATATCCTGCACGGCAGAGCTCATCAGCTGCTTCACCAGAACCATCAGGGCCAGCAGGCAGAGCACGGTGCCCACCGCTAGTCGCCATTCGCCGGAGCGGCTGCTGGTGGAGGACAGGAGGGCCACGCCGCCCGCCCCACAGCCAGCCACAAGGCCCACGGCCACGGAGAAACAGAGCAAGGAGCGCCGGGGCTGCTGGGACCACCACAGCTCCACCTGCTCTGCCAGCACATCTGGGGGCAGCCCCCTGCCCACTGAGGCTTGTTGGGACATGGCTTGGCTCAGGCAGGGTCAGGAGAGAAGATGAACGTCAGGGCCCAGAGGGCATTCATGGTGGCCCTGTGTCCCCATCACCTGGTTGGCAGCTGGAGGCCCGGTGTCCTCTTCTCAATCCTGGCTATGGTTGCCCTCACCTGCAGGGCAGGATCACATGTTACTCCCCATCCGTCTGGCCCTCGGAGTCTCACCTCAGAGTCTTAGGGAAGGGCCCCAAGCATCTTCCTCAGGGCCCCAGGAATCTTGCCCAGGGTCCTCAGGTCCTGTTTGTGAAATCTGCAGCCCCAGCATTCCTTGGGAAAGCACCTCCCCTGACCCCAACAGAGCTCCCTCCTCCCCTTCAAGGAATCCCCTTGCCCAGCCCCTGACCTCTCTTGCTCTGGCTGTCTCAGCCGCCTGGAACAGGCTGTCGGAGGGAGCTGGTGTCACGGTGGACGATGGAACGAACAGTCGGAGATAAAGCCTCATTCAGGACCAAACTCACATGGCCTCAGCTGTCACTGCTGGGTCCTGGGTGGGGGGAGTTGTGGGGAGGGGAGGCTGATGACTTAACCCTTCTGGAGCCAGCCGCCTGACCCTTCTCTCCTAGGGCCGTATCCTTTTCTGTGGGTCAGGACACCCTTCCTCCTCTAATCCTGTCCTATCTCCTGCTGGCAATAAAAGATGCAGGCTCCAAGCATCCCCAGTGCTCATCTTCCTCCTGGGCTAAAGTCATCTCTGATGCAATAGGGCCCAACCCTGTTCCTCATCCTACCCTAAACCTGTTCCTCCTGTGTTCCTTTTTCAAGATGCCTTTGCTACCCTGTCAGCCCACTGCAGGGGCTCCTTAACGCCCCCTGATGTTGCCAATCCACGCCCCCAGCGCGCATGTCCCACCGGTTCTGTCCTCACCAGAATCTCCCCCGCCCCCACTGATCTGCCTACACCCCACTGGCCTACCCCCTGCTATGCCCCTCCACGTGTTCTCTGAGACAGCAAAAGGAGGACTCTGGATTTGAACCGCAGCCCAGTCCTTCCCACCGTGGGAATGCGGGGAGGGAATCTAACAGTGTTACTCATTTAACCTGTTCCCTAGAGGACGGGCAGCATGACTCACACCAGGTAAAAATAAAGCCAGCACAGCCGGCAAGGAGCCCAACTTCCTGAAGCAGGAGAGACAGAGCCTGTAGGTGCCAGCTGCGAGTCCAGGAGGGGCTTGAATGGGACAGAGAAAGTGAGGACAGGGGACTTTATTCTGAGGAGTGGGAGAAGTCATCTAACATCTTCTTTTCAGACTTCCCATGGGGCAAAGGGGTTCAAAACATAACTTTCTGAGTAAGAGACTCAGGGTAAATCAGAAGGCTTAGGTCCTAGAGCCCAAATGGACCACAGAGCCGAGACCGGGCTTTTACTCCGAGAGAGAGATCTGTCCTGCAGGACCCTTCTGTCCTTTGCAGGGGCTGTCCCCCGGCACCACCGCACGCAAAGTGGGCGGGGTAGGTGCCCACGCCACCCCAAGGTGATGGGGGAGGGGCCATGGGCGGAGTCTGTCCCAGCATTCTTCAGGACCGTGGCTAGCGTGCAGGTCTGATGTGCTATCACAGGGTCTGCGTGGGAAACGACCCCCGGCGGGTGGTGGTTCCCAGGAGTAGAGCTGGTGGAAAGGGCGGGGGCGGGGGGGCACTCACGAGAAGCCCGGCTGCGCTGAATCCGATTTGAGCAGGCAGGCAGGCCCCCCAAGGTGGGGCGCTCTAGCTCGGTTTCCGGGAGGCGATTCACCTGCCTAACCTGTCACCCAGGTGAGCTGGAAGGAAGGGGGATTAACAGGTGCTGTTTCCAGGGCAGGGCCTGAGCCAATTGGCTGACGTGGCCTTGCGCCTTCTGTTGGGGCTGAGACATTCCTGGGAAGGGAGGGGCTTCTGTCTGCTGCTCTTAGGTCCAGAACGCCGTGCGCGGACTGGGTCAGCAGGAGGAAGGAATGCTTGCCCCGCTGCCCCAGGCTGAGGTCTAACCCACTCCCCAACTCCAACCTCATTTTCCCTTCAGCCCCTCCCCGAAGACCTACCGCCAAGCCTGCAAGGAATTACCGTCCAGGCCTGTAATCCTTGCGCTCTGGGAGGCTGAGGCAGAGGGCGAGGCAGCGAGAGGCCTGACACCTCAGCTCCAACTCCTCACTCCTGCTTATTCTGGACTTTTCTAAGTCCCACTGTACCCTTAGCCCCTGTCTTGACTCCTATGCACGAGTCTAGCCCCTCAAGACCCAGCTGTGCCTCAAAGTCAGCCTCAGCCCCAGAGCCCAGCGTCCCTGCTACCCCAGACCTAGTTCCAGCTCCATCGTGGGCGGCCCACCAATAGGCCCTTGGTTTATTTTCCTCGAGACCTCAAGTGGATTAGAGGCCTTCCAGGTAGGCAGCTGGAGCTCCCAGAATAAACTCTTCTTAGATAAGCTCCACATCCCCTGACAAGCCAGAGCTTCCTTCAGCTGTGCGGACTGCCCTCCACCTACCCTGTGAACTGAGTCCCTCCGCTGGAGTCCAGCCAACCCTGAGATGCCCCCTCCGACCTGGCTGACTGCGCTCACGGGCTGTGCTTCCTTGGGGTTCCATCTACATCCGCCCTTCTTTGTTCTGAATTGTCCTTTGGTTAATTAGCTTTCACCCTCACCCCCCCCCCCCCCGAGATGTGTATCTGCAGCCAGTTCAGGGTTAGCGGCCGGTTTACTCGGCACCGCGATCCCAGCAGCCAGCACTCAGTAGCCTGGACGTGCAGGGTCCTTGATAAATGTTCGCTGAGTGGCTGGCTAAATAAAACTGTGAACTGACCGGTGTGACTATTTTGAGCTTTGAGCGTTTGGGATGAAACCAGAAAAACAAGTTGCGTCGGGACTGTATGGTCCTTGAATGCCTCAGGGATGCATCTGGACGATGCTATGTGTCCCCAGGGGTGGCATGAAGTGGAACAGGGATATGGCTCAAGGCTCTGCTTCTAATCGGCAAATCTGGTTCTCATACACTACGCCCCACGTGGTCAGAGGTGGCTGGCCGCAGGCGTTCCCTGGGCTACCCCTTCTACTCAGCTATACTTTCAGTATGTTCTCCTCTGTCCACTTGATGTGGATAAAAAGAAGAAAAGCAAACAAAAAAACAAGCAACAAAACAAAATCCAAGTTATCTTCCTGAGATCAGTTCACAAAAGAACTGTTCCTGGCCTGGAGTCCTCTTTTGTTTTGTTCTTGTACAGATGACTAGGAGCCTCATAACTCCAAAACAGTGTGGTTTGTATGTGTATGTTTGTGTAGTTTTTTAAAATTCTCTCATATAGTACATCCAAATCTGACCAAACTTTCCCCTCCCTTCTCCCAGAGTCTCCCCCATCAACTCCTCCGTTACCCTTCAACAGCAGAGCGGGCCTTTCAGGGATATCAACTGAATGTGGCATAACAAGTTATGAGACCCTCATATCAAGGCTGGATGGGGGAAGCCAGTAGGAGGAAAAGGGTCCCAAGAGCAGACAAAAGAGTCAGAGACGCCCCACCCCCACTGTTAGGAGTCCCATAAGAACACCAAGTCACAACCATAATGTATATGCGTTTGCAGAGGGCCTAGCTCAGACCCATACTGGATCCGAGATTATCGCTTCAGTGTCTGGGAGTTCCTCTTATTTGTGTAACTTTAACCCTTCTAATAGCTTATTCCAAAAGACCAGATAAAATTAACACATTAAAATGAGTGTATTTGCTGGGCTGCGGACGTAGCCCAGTGGCTGCTCAGCACCAGGTTCGATCCCCAGTGCTGCAAAAATATATGTATTTGAATTCTAAAATATATTGTATTATAGCAGGTATTAATGAGCCCTTTGAAAGTCTTTTATTATACATACAAATCGTATCTCAGTTCAAATTGGCTATACATGGAGTACCCAGTAGCCACCTTTGCCTGTGGCTGTATTCTCACTGGGGAGTACAGCTCTGGCTGGCTTTCCCCTGAAGAAAAGTCTTGGACTGGCTGACTGCTGCAGGGCAGGCTGAAAATGGGGCGCACTGTGTGGCATTGTGGGTGTTAAGCCACTTTGCAAAGCATTACAAGCATGCCCCCATTATAAGAAACAGGCCCCGGAGAGCAGAGGTCTGGCAGAGCTTGCCAGCCTGGATTTGCTTAGAACACTTCCAACATCCTGCTCCCTAAGGAAGTCCATCTGTCCTAGACAGATGTGGGGCAGGGAATTCCCTCTTTCCCTTTGGAGTCTACAGAGGAGGAAGCAGAGCCTAAAGCTTCCTCCGTTTAAACACTGGCTGGGCGAGTCAGTGGCTCAGAGTTAGTGTTGAGTCTCTAAAGCAGAGACTGTCTCTAAAGCAGAGGCTGTGTGGTGGTTCATGTGGCAGAAATGGAAGGTCAGGAGGTAGAGGTGGCAGTGGGCATGTAGGAGAAGGTGGAGGTCTGAGGAGGAGTTGATATGGCTATTTTTATAAAACTGTGTTTGTTTTTCAGTTTTTCTCTTAACCTGGCTATCACACAAATAATTGAGACTCTATTATATTATTTTAACAAGTTTCACAGCACAAGAACTGAGCAGTTTTAACTCCATTCTTAACCCTCTAAGCTAATTTGGCTTCCTCCCAGCATGCATCCCAGAGATCCTTGCACTTTGTAGCTTTCCTTGCTGAGCTTTCTTTCTTTGTCCCTCCTAGACCTCTCCCTTGGCTGAGTCCCCTACTTTCTCCTCTAGCTCCTCCTCCCTGGCTGGCAGGAAGTCCTGTTTTGTCCCCTACTCAGTGATTGGCTGTAAGCTGCTTTATTGTCATATCAGGGGACAATGGGGAGCAGTGTTTATACAACACTGAGACAGGAGAGTCTCAGAACAAGGATTGCAACCAGATATGAAGGGGTACAGAAATCAGCATTTAAATTACACAATATCCTACGCCTACAGGGAGTACAGGGGAAGAACCGATGGGCTGGAGGGCCATTTATACTTGTACCTCAGTGAGCCTGTTACTGTAATGTCACTGACTGCCTGAGTCCCTCCCATGGCCAGCCTGGGTCCTTCCATGATCTTTGAGGCCATCCCAGTGCCTCAAAACCTATGTGCACTGGTGGCTCCCACAGTTTTCCTTCCAGATGGGTTCCCCCCCCCCCCCCCCCATCCCTTCAGGAATGAGCTCAAATGTCAGCTTTGGCTGTGAAAATCCACTCCCACGGGAAGATGTAAGCATAGTCTACCCGTCCTCCCGAGGTTTCAGTGATTAGATTCCACCAAAGGGGAATCTGGGGAACCAATGAGTTTGTTGGGATTACCTTCAGAGTGCAGGTGAGGGGTTAGTTACTAGAACATAGGTGCTCCCTGCCAAAAGGCCACACTGGAAAGTGTTTACTTTTCCACAGCTGTCCTCTCTAATAGGTCCTCAGACCTTAGCACAGCTGACTCCATGATGGAAGTACCACTCAGGCCATAAAACTCGGCACATAGACAGCACCACCTGCCAAAATGAGAGCAACGACCTAATCCATCAAATCCATAGTTTTGGGAAAGTCTCTTAATGTACTAACCTTGTTTTTTTTTTTTTTTTTTTTTGGCTTTTGTAGTTCTGTTTCTGTTCCTGTTAAGTGAAGTATACCAACCCAGGACACAGTTTTGTGCTTAAAAAGCTCACCCTGAGAATGTCTCAGGCTACTGGGATCCTGAACACCCCATGTAGTTTCCAGCTGACTAATAAAGACTTTCTGTTGGCTTAAACCTATGTCTGATCAGTCTCCTCTGGTGGACACCTCACAACATCCCCTTCAGTAGGCTTCCTTGGCCTATGTACTGTAGCCTTTTCCCTGAGGCCACGTGTAATTAGGGCAGAGGTGCACACAGCAGGTGGTTATGCTGTGACTGATTCTCAGGTGGTGGCCCCATGACCCTCTCTGCTCCTCTGTGAGAAGTAAACAGGCAACAAGTCCGGCTGGGTTGATCTCTTGCAGGTGGTGCAGCTGAACTCCGAGATGGTGGTTGTCGGGCTCTGAAGATAGTCATGTACTACCCCATCTCAGAAGAGCTTCCTGGCCACCCTGTTCAAGATCACCATCTTCCCCCAGCATTTCTCATCCCCTTGTTTTTACTCCCCTCCTTTCCCCTTACCCTCAACCCCACTCCCTCGTCATTCCTGTGGGTCTCCCTCTTTATGAGGAAGGATTTGCTCTGTTTGTTCACTACTGTGTTTCCAGCTCTTGGAACAGCAGGTATGCGACCCGTGGCTGTTGAGTGGCTGAGGAGAATCGTGGTTTTGGAGTTACGCTGACCTTGAGGTGTCAAGTCTCAGCCCTAGTTATGCACCTGTGGAAAACCTGCCATGTTTCGATTGCTTTGTTAAAACATCAGGACCTCCAAGGCAGCTTGGGAGAGGAAGGCAGTCAGGGCAGGAACCTGCAGGCAGGAGCTGATGCAGAGGACTAGAAGAGAGCTGCTGCCTTACTGGCTTGCTCCCCCAGGCTTTCTTAGCCTGCTGCAGTTAACGCTAGCCCAGGGATGGAACCGCCCACAGAGTGCTGGGCCCTCCCACACCAACAATGCAGAAAATGCCCTGTAGACTTGCTCACAGGCCAGTCCAATGAGGGCATTTTCTCAACTGAGGTTCCCTCTTCTCAAATGACTCTATCTTATATCATGTTGACAAAAAACGCTCACTCTCTAGGACACATTTGGTGGGTCTGGGTTCCTTCATTTGTAAATAACAAGGCTTAGTGGGTGGTTAGGAGGAGAATTAAATGGCTGAATCCACTCACTCAGAAAAAAAAAAGATTGTAACCCCTTCTGTGAACCAGGTATTGATTGCACAGGGGACACAGGAATGAGCTGGGAGCTTATGATGCTGTCACCTGGGAGAAGAGGCTAGGAGGAAAAAGGACACGCAGCACAGGATAGCTTCAGGGCATCATTAGAGCCATACTTAATGCACATCGAGGGACCATTTCTCTAGGTGGGCACATGGGGGCATAGGTTCCACTTACGATGCTCACCGTCTTTCCGGATAAGAGCTCTAGGCACCAGGACCATGATTAACGACTCACCCCGTGTCTGGAGCTGATTGAACAGATGTAAGCCCCTGACTCAAGCTAGGTCCCAAAGTCTCCAACTGAGCAATTTAAGACTGTGCCGGAGAGATGGCTCAGTGGTTAAGAGCACCTGCCGCTCCTGCAGAGGACCTGGATTCGAGTCTCTGGGCGCATGCCAAGCAGCTGTTGCTAACATTCCTTCCTCGAGGGAGAAGTAAACAGTGTTTACCTCTCTCTGAAGGTCCCAATGACAAGCCGAGGTACAGTTCCACCAGTGTTCACTCTGGGGAACCAATGTGTTTCTTAGGCTTCCTTATGGAGCAATGGAGGTGATAGGTGCGGGGAGGGGGGCTTACAGAAGCCACACTAGAAGGTCTGCACCCAGAATGGACAACTCTCCCACGGACATATAGGTTGACCTGTCCTCTCTAGTCCTTCCACCTGTACACACTAAAGCCAACCCCACCCACCACCACGCTACCTAATTAGGCCAGAATTGTATATAACTGGTTGGGAGGTGTGCCTGAATCCTCTTGTGAGGGTCCCATGACCCTCTGGCACGACAGGGAAGGTGTCAACAATCCCAGCTGTGGTGATTTGTGGTGACTGTTTTTACAAGTGAGGACAGCTAAACTCATGAAGAGGTTGGTAGTCTATTTCAGAGGATAGTCCTGTACAAAAGGCTCACAAACGCCTGCAACTCCAGTTCCAGAGGACCTGATGCCCTCTTACGGACACCGTGAGCACCTGCACTCACTCGTGCATACACACACACACACACACACACACACACACACACACACACACATACACACACACGGCAGATAAACCTTTAAAACAAAACAAACAAAAACCCAGCTGAGTGGTGGTGACAAAAACCTTTATTCCAGTATTCAGGAGGCAGACGCAGGCAGAGCTCTGTGAATTCAAGGCCAGCTTGGTCTATAGAGTGAGTTCCAGGATAGCCAAAGCTACACAGACAAACCCTGTCTCAAAACAAAACAAAACAAAAGCAAGCAAATGAACAGAAAAACTCCCAAACCATCCACTGAACCAACCAAACTAAAAAACCAAACCAAAGCAAACAACAACAACAAACCAAATTGGGACTGAGTTCTAGCAGAAGGCTACAGGTGCTCTTTTTTGGCTATGACTCCAGACAGCTTAAGCAAAAAGAGAGAAATTTATTTTCTGGCTCCACTGGTGTCTCTCAGGCTTTCTTCTGGCAGAGAAACACTCAAGCCTCAAGAAAAACCCGAGCCAGGGCCTGGGACACAGCCAGCGGCCATCCCCCTCTCTTGTCCAGGACTCTCTCTGCAGATGGGCATCCATCCTATCCCAAGTTCAGCTGGCAGGAGGGCACATTAACACCGCTCCTCAGGAGCCCCAACAGAAATGAAATCTTCAGACCAATCTGTAGGCCAGGCTAGCCTCGAACTCAGAAATCTGCCTGCCTCTGCCTCCTGAATGCTGGGATTAAAGGCGTGCACTACCGCCCAGTGTGCGAAGTCCCAATTTTTAACATTTACTGTACTAATACACTCAGTGTGTTCCTAGAACATTCTAGCCCTCGTCTGTCATGTGACACCTAGTAAGCTGAACAATAAATAGCAGTTCTTGTAAACCTACCAGTCACTGCTTGTAATCAGTAATGCTGGGCCCCTCCCCCTTCCCCCTCACCTCCCTTCCCTCCGCTGCCTGGTACATGACAATGTGATGTCCTTTTACACATGCCCCCAGTGTAGCGCCACTCGTAGGAATCTGGCTGCATTTCAGACATAAACACAGCACGGCCGCTCTCTTGACTCTTTGATGGTCTTGTGGAGCTCAGGGAGAATGAGCCCCACGCCTGGTGCTGAGATGTGAGTTCTCTTTCCTTTCTGAATCCAGAGCAATACTTGCAGTGAGTTGCTACCTGACCATACAGCTGTTCCCAGGATTGCCTGTGCCCCTCACATAACTCCTGGGGACAGCTGGTGAGTAATGGCTGATGCCGCAATGGCCGGTCATGCTTTGTGGAAATGGTGGAGGAAGGTAGACATTGATGCCAAGACCCCACTGTGGGATGGAGTCTTTCCTGTCAATAGGACAAGATGGCAGAGGTCTGAGATCTAAGCAGTTTACACTGTCTGGCCGTAACGGATGCTGAAATTCTAGAAGAACGGGGGTAGAAGCACACCGGATACCGGAGCCATGGGGAAAAAGAGTAATGCTGAAGGCTCTCACAGCAGGATGACAAGCTTCTCCCAAAGCCACTTGCTGTCCTACTCACTGAATGAGTCGCCAGAGTGCCACAATGGACTGCAGCCACAAGAGCAAGAACTGAGTTCATGTGCCAGTAGGCGACTGGCTCGGCTTCTACAGCTGCTGAGGGGGATGGGGGGGTGACGGCTAGGTTCCGTCTATCAGTGGGGGTCAGCCAGCAGAAGGGGCCTCTAGGACAAGGTGATTGACATGAAGGCAAGTCTTCCTCCCCAGGAAATCAACATAGTGGAGGGAGGTCTGGGAGGCAGTAGCTAGAGTCAGGACCACGTAGCAGGACCACGTAGCAGGACCACATAGCAGGACCACGAGCATGGAAGACAGGATGCAGAGACTTAAAACAATACTGAGACTCTAAAGCTGTGTTCATCCCTCTGCAGCTAAGAAACAAGCCACTGGCTCAGGCGATAGCTGGGGTGGGGGTGGGGTTCTTCTGTCTCTTCATCTGCTGGGTAGCAGTCCCCCAGTCCTTCTTGTTTTAGATTTTCTGGGAGTCACATCCCGACACCCTCCAACCCCCTGACCTGTGGTGTTCCTACAGGCACCTCTCCAGCACGGTACATGACAACACAGGCTTTGGAGGCCATGGGGCTGAAGGCTCACAGTCATGACTCCACCCAAGTGAGTGTTCCAGTCACCCCCAAGCCATCGTGTAGGAGGAAAGGTGATGTCCTAATCAAGATTTCCCGGTGATGTGCGTGTCATCTGAATGGCGACCTCAGTGAATTTGCTCCCGGTCCTCAGAGCTCCATTTTCCTCTGCACAGATTGGCCAACTCCCACCTGTCCTCAGAAGAGCTCATTTCTCTCCCTCCCCTCAGCCATCTCCCCTGGCCCACGCCCCTGACACCCACTACTTCTTCCTAAAGGGGCCACCTGCTTCTGCTATGGGGGCCCCTCCATCGAGGCCGCACATCACACCCATGTGAGCTTTACACTCAGAGATAGCTCTTGTAGAATTCACGCAGCAGAGGGGAGGCCAAGGACTGACTTTCTGAGGAAGTGACACCTAAGCTCAGATTTGAACCTGTTGTGGGCGCATTTCAGGCAGAGGAAGTAGATCGGAGAAATATGGAGCTGCAGGGAGATTATGGCCTGTTAGGGAAACCGGAAATAGGGCAGCCTTGATTCCAACATCCTCTGGACTCTAGTCAGCCTCTTTCACGGGTCCTCAAGGTCAGGCAGGATCGGGCCCTACTGACTCCTGTGCCCGCTCTATCCCCTACCTCATTTAAAACCACTCTGTCCGGCAAAGATGACAAGTCTGGCTGGAATGCTGAGGCTGGATCGTGCAGAAAGGCCATAGCCTCCCAGCGGGCAAGGGACAGGCTGGCTGTCACACTGTCGGAGGAGAGTACTGGCTGCAGTCATAGGGTGTGGGCTGGGTGAGGGGGCAATGAATAGAGACAGATCCCCCATGGAGCACCCCCATCCCACAGAGTCCTTTGCAGTCTTTGTCACGTACCTTCCATCTTGGATCTAGAACAGCAGAGTTTCTGGCTCTGAAAATACCCAGTGCCTACAGTGTTGGCAAAGCAGGCTGGAAAAACTGAGGAGCCTGGGAGCTAGCAGGCTTCATGTACCCGGAGGAGAGCACTAGGGGCTCGGAGGGACTGTGGGCTTAAACACACAGATTCTCTACAAGCAGAAACCAGGGACATTTGGCTTACACTCTTTTGCTCATTATTGCATAAAGGAGTCTCTTTCCTGGTACCTACGTGTGGCTAGGCTCCGGGGATAGGACCTGGACACATTACTGGAGAGAAAAGTATAAAGTATTCTCAAAGCTGGAGGAGCCAGTCAAGGTCACACAAACACAAATGTGAACACAAGAGGAAGGGCAGGAAGTACCTCATTATGCTTCATGAGGAAGAAGAAAACAGAGGAGACCCTGTTTGGTCCTGACTTGGTTGGGAGGAAAGCCAGGAGGGGAGCAACAGGTGAGCTATTTAAGATGTGAGAGGTGGCCCTGTCCTCATGCCAGGCCCATGGCAGGAAGCTGGCCGCAGGTCCTGCCAATCTCTGCAGTGCAGGCTGCCCAGTTCTCACACAGGAACAAACAGCAGTGGCTTTGGAGAACCCACAGTCCCCCCCCCCCCCACTGCCACAGTTCCCCCTCGTCCTCAGGCTCCCAGCCCCCTCGCTGACCCACACTCTCCTGTGTGCCCCCACCCTAAGCAGAAGTTGGACCAGGTTGTGAACAAACACCTTTATTCTGACCCCACCCCTAGCTTTCCAGGATGAAAGGGGTTGATGGAACTCAGGTCAGAGTCTGGCTTGCTTCCGGCTATGACTGGAGAGGGCTCACCAGAGGTCACTTGGTGTGTACCTCTAGGTCCACTTCTGAGTCGATGAGGGAAGGGAGCCGAATTCCTGCGATGGTGTGGAGGCCTGGGACCTGCTCCTGCTCCTGGATCTGTTCTCTGAGGCGGCGGATTTCCAGGCGCTGCATTTCAATGATTCTCCCTGTCTCCTCCTGTTCATTCAGCCTCGTGGTGGCACTGGTTGGTTCCTTCGAGAGCACTGTAAGGGGCAGAGCAGGGTAACTGTGGCTGGCCTGTTCCCTGAACTACGGAGGTCCCCTCCTCCAAACAGCCCTGGAGCCTCCACCGAGGCAGAGATAATAAACAGGGGATGCTCCAAGTGCTGCCTGTGTGACCTGCCTGTGCCTATGTCACGTGCAGCTCCCCTGGGGACGACGCTGGAATCCAAGCCACCAGGCCTCTGGGAAAGGTGGTGCTCTTGGAAACAGATTTCCCTCCTCTCTCTGTGTGGCATCTGCTAATGCTTTCTTCACCTCTGGTCTTGCCATCTTCCCTGTCTTGGGCCTCAAAGGGCTGGACTCCATGCTAGGTCACCTTCCTGTCTTTCCTTGCCACCCAGGGGTCCCCTCTGCTGCCCATGCCAGCACACCAGTCTCTGACCATGGACTCTTTCACTGTTTGTACTCAGTATTTCCTTCTAGACTGCCTTTTCCTGTCATTCCCTTCTACCCAACAAGATGAGCTCCGAAATTCAGTTTTCTCTGGCCACTTTAGATTCACCATGAGTTTTTCCCCCCCCCCTCTTTATTTTCTTGACCCTGGCCCCAAGTTTTCTAATTGATTTGTTCTTCCATTTCATCTGTTCTGCCCAGCCTGTACCTGAGACAGCCCAACCCTCAGGATCTGCCCGTCTATGTCTAGCCTGCTGTGTGCTACTGAGAAAAGTAGCAGGTAAGGTTCAATGTTTTTGTCTGCAGCCAGTGGCTTACCATTCCCCCATGGCAGCACACCTGAACCCTGGCCTCCCTTCCCTCTCCATCAGTCTTAACAAAGGGCATTTCCTGTCTCTTCTCCCTACAGCCAGCCATTTCCTGTAGCTCTAAAGGAAAAACTAGAAAAGGACAGATGTAGGCGAAGGGAGAGACAGCGCCACAAGGAAACAGTCAGCAGTGGCTGGTGGCCAGCCTTGTCCTGCCCTCTAACTGGTGTGATGGGGCAATGATTTAAGGGGCAATTGGTTTATCTTGCCCTTCTTCCTAGGAAAGTCTGGTCCCTCCTCTTTCTGCCTTTACTTCCAGATGTCCTTTTCTGCAGCCCCAAGGCTCCTGACCTCTTACTGTGTTCCCCCTCAGCCCCCAGGGATCAGCCCTTGGTCCTCCCGAGACTGGTTCTTTCTGGTAACTACCGCCCTCAGTTTCATGACCTCTGCATCAGCTCCTGTCCTCTGATGGCTTCTTCATCTGCCTTCACACACAGATACTTAACCAGTGGCCATCTGACTCCCCCAGGGATGCAGGGGTCTGTGAAACCACAGTCCTAGATGCTGGGCATCAGCCCGAGGAGCTCAGCAGTGAGGTGCTCTTCCTCGCCACAATGCCTCTCCACAACACCCCTCTATGTTCTGAGAATCTCGCTCTAAACCGTCCAATCACTGAGCGAGGTCACTGGACCTCAGAGGTAGGCAGTGGCAGGCTCTCCACAGAGTCCAGAAAGAGCCACCAGACCCACAGCCGCAGGCTGAAGGCTGCCCCGGGGCAGCTGCCTGAAACATGCCTGGCTTCAGTCTTACTACTCCATGAATGCAATACGGGGTGCAGCATGGAGAAGATGGCCCAGGGGCTCCCATGTGGCACTTCTGCCATGGCTCCTGCTCTGTCTCTGACTCTGGCTTGCGAACGATTTGTCTCTAGGGCCTGAGCTGTGCTTTTCTTGTTTCTTCCCATCACCCCCTCACTGGTCTCTTTCCATTCCTTCTGACAGCAAATCGCCTGTTCATCACACTGTGGGTCAGTCATACAGGGGCCACTTTCTTTGGTGTCTAAACCCTTGCCTCTTCCATAGCTGTGGGAAGTCAGCTCTTGCCATGAAGCTCCATCTACCCCCTCTGCCCCTCTGCTCACAGCCCCGGTCTCCTCTTGTTCCTGTTCTGCTCAGAACCTGTCGCCTTCCAGACCTCGTCAGTGGCCCTCTCTGCATGCTCCTCACAGGCTTCTTTCAATAGACAGATGAAAGACTGTCATTGTGTAAACGATTAACTCATTATTATCCCCACTATTGTTATTTGCAGTGTTGGGGAACTGAACCCAGCGGCTTCGTTCTCATGATGGAGATTCACCAATGAGCTTTATGCTCAGGGCCAAATCTGACTTCAGACGATGGAAAACAAGAAAGCGGTCAGGGATGCATTTGGACTCAATCCTACCTCCTTTTCTATACTCTGTGCATGTTTCTTTTATTTATTATTTTCCCCAAATTTGCTCTATTTTCCCTATGTTGGTTTGAGAGGTTTTCTCTTTCTCCCCCGCCTTCCTTTCTATCATCCCTGTGGTCCCTCAAAAAAGTTTAATATGCTTATATAACATAAAGAATGCAAAGTAGGAATGGCTGAGTTAGAATCTCCAGAACCCACATGAAGTACAATGTGCTATGTTGTGTGTGTGTGTGTGTGTGTGTGTGTGTATGTGCATGTACGCGTGTGTGTGTGTGCGCATGCATGTAGTCTCAGAACTCCTACAGGGAGACGGGAGTTGAGACAGCAGAGTCCCTGAAAGCTTGTGGGTCAGCTAGCCTGGTATACACAGTGTGTGTGGGGGTGGGGGAGGGGAAGCAAGCCACCCTGTCCCAAACAAGGAAGATGAGGACTGATGACTGAGATCGCCCTCTGACCCTTGTGTTTACATGCACTCTGTGTGCATGCTTACATGCATTTACACACACACACACACACACAAACACACACACCACGGTGGCTCTCCCGCTGTGAAACAATCAGACACAGAGGACGGTTTGGTTCCAGGCCCTCTGGCCTCCATGTTCCTGTGCAGTATTCCAGTTCTTCTGATTCTGTTTGCACCCACAATTCAGCTATTGTCTTCCCTGTGCTAAGTCATTACTGGTTCTTTAGCGCCTACATTTTACCTTCTTTATTCATTGTTTCTTCTTGCAGTCAGAGTTACTTCTGGGACTATTTCTCTTCCTGATGTACAATCTTTAAAAATTATTTTTTAAGAAGGTTATGCTGGAGGGGGGGGGGCAAAGTTCAATTTTTGTCTTTTTTTTTTTTTTTTTCCTTTTAGCTCCATTTTAAGGAGATAGTTTCCCTGGTGATATATATATCAGGGAACAGCCACCAGGCCTCAGCTCTCTGAAGGGACTGTGTGACCATGTCTGAGTCTCACTGTTGCTGCTGGGAAGCCACATGGCCCCTGGTGTTGCTCTCCTGTGTATGAGCTCCTGCTCTCCTCCCTGATTGTCCTTGGTGGTGAAGGTCGCTGTGAGTTATCCTCTCAGGGACCCTTAGGATCCCTGCACCTGACGGGAGCCTTCTTTCCTCCATTCTGAGAACTTGCAGTTACTCCTTGTGGTAACACTGTTCTTCTTCAGAGTCCGCTTGGACGGTTGCTGACCTACCCGGTTTCCATCCCGGCTCTCAGTGTATCTTGTTCCTCCGGGCTGAAACCCAGCCACCGCCTTCATTCTTTTGCTTCATAGATTCTCCTTTCAGATGGGTGTGCCTACCATATGGCCCAATTTGTTCCCTGAGCTTCTAATTATAATGATTATAGTTTTTATTTCTGCTAGTTATTTGTGGTTTTTAAATATGGTCTGTCAGTAAAATTTTAGAAGACTCTTGCTTAAAAAAAAAAAAAATTCAAAGGCCTGACGGTGGGGATACAGGCCTTCATCCTAGCACTCCGGAGGCAGAGACAGGTTAACCTCGGAGTTAGAGGCCAGCCTGGACTACAGAGTGAGTTCCAGAACAGTCAGGCCTACAAGCAGAAACCCTGTTTCAAAAAAACAAAAAAAAAAAAAAATTTTTTTTTTCAGGCTAGGAGAAGGTGGTGGTGGCCGCCAAGCCTTTACTCCCAGCAGAGGCAGGCAGCTCTCACAGCTTGATTGGAGCCAGCTTGGTTTATAGAACGAGTTCCAGGACAGCCAGCTACACAGGAAAATCTTGTCTTAAAAGACTAACAATAAAAGTAGTAGTAGTAATAAAATAAAAAAAAAAATTCAAATTCCTCTTTTTATTTCCTTCAACATATAAAGCATCAAATCTTACTACATTTTGCTCATCTACTTCTTCAGGTGTGTCCCACGTGTGTGTATGTTGAGCCCTTGCACGGCTCCTGTGGCTTGATTTGGTTGGGGTGATGAGGAGTTGAAGGAAGGACAGACAGAGAGGGACAGGCGGGGCTGGAGGGCACTGGGTCTCTCTCTGCCTAAGAAGCCACAGCGACCCAGGTTGCTCAGGGTGCTTCTCATACAGTTGAACAGAGAGGCCAGCTGATCACATTCAGCTCAGACACGCTGTGGCGAGCAGCAGTCTGCGGGCCATAACTCTACCTGGGCATGAGGGAGAAGAAAACTACAGTGGACATTTTTTTTTTTTTTTTTTTTTTTTTTTTTTGCATGCACCGTCAGCCTTAAGGTTTCACCATTTTCCGAGGGGCTGAGGTTTTGGGGTGCTGTCGACACAGACATGGTTCGTGTCAACAGCACATGCCCACTCAGGACTTCACTCACTGAGCACTTCTTCCACTCCCTGTGTGTGTGTGAACGTGTGTGCCGATGTGAGTGTGTGTGTGTGTGTATTCCTGTGCATGCTGACACACGCACAAGTCTCCCCGTCCCCCGTGTGGTCTTGAAGATCCAACTCTAACCAGTCCTTTTACCATCTGGTGGGTCCACAGTCTCATTTTAATGTTTTAATAGTCTTTGTTGGTTTTAGCCTATAGTTTGACGTTTTGAGGGTTTAGCATATGTTAGGCTTTTTTTTTCTACACTATTTTCAGCTTAGGATTCAGTTCCGTGGGCCTGTGAAATCAGGAACATTCACCCACCCATCTCCTAGCTTTCCAATTGTCTCTTATTTCCTTTTGTGCTCTTTTTGTTCTTACAGTTTATTTATAACATTTTAGTTGGTTTTTTAATAGTCAGCTTTGGTTGTAAATTCTAGTGAAGAGGTTTCAGTAATTGAAAAACAAGCAGGTGTATCTGCTAGAACTGTTAGTTAATTGTCTTGCAAATTTGAAAATAATATAAATGTTGTTACAACTAAAGTAGTGGTTAGGGAATGGCAAGCTCCCTTGTTCAAAGGATTCTTAAACAGCAGCCGAATGGGCCAGGTCCTTAAGCAACCTGAAGAATGTGTAATTTGCACTGACTTGTCTTGGGAAGGGGCGGGTGCTCATTTCAGAATCCAAAGTCAGACTTAGGTTTTGCACAATCGAGGTCGACAACTGGTATTTCTTGTCACCAACTGTCCCAAGTGAATGCTTCTTGAATAGAGCTGTAGCAGATGACAGATATTATTGCTTTGCTTTCAGATAGTTCGTGGTGTGGGTGTTAGGGGGTCTGGGGTGGGGGCCAGATATTGAAGAGACAAGAGTGGCAGGAATTGATGCTTCCCGAAGTTGAGAAATGGATTCGTGCAAATTCACCAGATTTTGCTCTCAACTTTTTACGTCTGGAAATTTCCATATTAGGAATATAAAGAGCCTGGTTGGGGGAGGTTCCCAACTAAGAGGTTTCCAGGATGCTTTGGTGAATCTGAAGTATTTTCTCCGCCTTCCCTCCCCTCCTCTTCTCTTTTATCCCTTCTCCTCACGCCCCTCTTTCTTCCTGTGGTATATATGCACAGGTGCACATGGTGAGGTCAGAGAAGGGCATCCGATGTCTTCCCCTATCGCTTCCCACCCCGTATTCCCTTGAGAAAGGTCTCTCACTGAACCTGGAGATGATGGTGTTCAGTCAGGCTGGTAACCAGCCAACTCCAGGTGTCTTCTTTTCCTCCTGTCTCTACTCCCCCATTGCACCTTGTGTTTCTACCCCGCCAAGTGACATTTGTGGCTTCCTTCCTCCCCTCTCCTCCCCTCCCCTCCCCCCTCCTCCCCTCCCCTCTCTTCCCCTCCCCTCCCCTCTTTTCTTTCTTTTGAGGCAGAGTCTCACTCTGAAGCCCCAACTGTCTTGGAATTCACTTTGTAGACCAGGTTTGGCCTTGAACTCACAGAGATCCACCAGCCCCTGTCCCCTGAGCCCTGGAGTTAAAGGTGTGCGCCCCCACGCCAGGCCAGGTTTGTAACATTTTAAGAAGTTTTGCAGTTGTTGACAAGCATAGCTGCGCTTTACCCCCTGAAAGAAGGTGACCTCAACTCTGAGAAGGATGTAGCTCATGCTTTAGGATGGACACTGTGTTCGCATGTCCCTGCTGAGGACTGAAGATGGCGACTTTGGGTACCACTCAGAGGATTTACTCTGGTCCCAACTGTTATGGGACCATAATATGACACATACCTACATACAGACACAGCGCTTAATGACAGAGATACGTGTGTTCCAGGAACTGCGAGTCACCATGCGAGCTCATCATTGTGTGAACATCAGACAGTACCCTTATACTAAGGGGGCCATGGGGACAAGGCACCGGAATCGTAGACATCATATAGCCATGCAGCACAGGGCTCTACACAGATTGCAAAAACAGCACAGAGAGTTCCTGTGGCATCCGAAACCCCAAGGCATTGCTCTGGGACGCTTTAGCGTGTCGAGTTTTTGTTCCTGAGTCCTAACCACCGGAACCCAGGGGTGTCGGCGTCACTCGCTCACTCTTCATGGAGGTGCCTTATGCTCTTGGTTTGTACTGGTTGTCGGGTATGAAAACGACAGAGGGCAGTGCTTTATCGCCTGACAGCCTGTGGGGCCTGGAGGCTGCCAGTCCACAGACTTTCTCAGAGAGCCATGTTGACAGGTTTCTCTCGGAATCTAGGCAAACAAGCCAACCCCCTTCTTTCTGTCGTACGATGAGGAATATGTAAACTACCCCGTTTTTGAGACAGGGTCTCACACTGTAACCCAGGCTGGCCTTGTGCCCATGGCAATGCTCCTGCCTCAGTCTCTCAAGTGTGGAGACTATCATACTTCTTTCTTTCCCCTTTTGCCTTGGCTACCAGCTGCTCAGAAGCACTGTGTCACTGCATCCACCAACTTAGTGAACATTTCTGACGGAATTTCTTTTTCCCTTTAAATAATTTCTCATCTTTTTGTCTTCGTTTTAATTGTACAGGTCCCTTGCCCACAATTCTAAAATGTTAAAAAAAAAAAACATGAGAGAGAGAGAGAGAGAGAGAGAGAGAGAGACAGATAGATTTAAAAATGGAACACATTTTTAAATTCATGAAGCTTGGTTTGAATATTCACATGTCACTGCAGAGTACTAACGTGCTTGATTTCAGGGCACTGCCCCAGACCTTGCAGGGACGTTACATAACTGTCCTGCGTGCTCCTTCTAAGACCTGCAAGATTCTGAGTTCTGAATTGCTGCTAACCCTGAGGATTTCAGACAGGAGCCTGTGGCCCCATGAGTGAGAGCATGGACGGGGCAGGTCCTCCCGGGTCTTCTGGAGAGCTATATGTGCCATGGAGAAGCTATGAAACACCATGATGCGACCTGCTATTGAAAGAAGCCAAAGGGAGACCCGCTCATGGCTGTCACCAGGCCTTTGTCTCAGCGCCCAACTCCCAGTAGCATTACCTGTCTCTGTAACTTCTTGTGGTCGAGTTTTCTTGGACAGTTTCAGGGCTGATTCAAGGTCGTAGATTTGGGAGCGGGTTAACCTCAGCTCCCGGCGGAGCTCATTAATTTCCTTGATCAGAGAGACATTTTCCTTTGGAGAGGAAGGAAAGGCAGTGAGCGTGTTGCACAGGTGCTCGGTGGGTTCAGAGTGAGCCCTCCTGGCCTTAAGACCCCAGGGGCCTAGACTGCACCCGGCAGTGAGCCTCAGTCTTGCTCACTGCCAAGCCTCTCAGAGTACCAGCTAACTTGACTTCAAGTGGAATTGGTCACCTTTGCTAGCCATGTGTGCTCTTCCAAACATCCAGAACAATGCTTTCCTAGGTACTTTGGCTATGCTTTAATGTGCTTCAGCATGGTAACCCTTTTACTTGGACTTGGTGATGGTTCTGGAGATTGGACCCAGGGCCTTATAAATGCTAAGCATTGCTCTACCACTGAACTACACCCTCATCAGATCCTATAATAACTTTACAGAAAAAGAAACTGAGGCACCAGAGAGGTTATGTAAGTGGCCCGAACCATACTGTTGGCAAATAGCAGAGCCAGCGTGTTAACCTCAATAGCACTCTTAAGGACTGTGCTGTATTTCTCCCATATCCCCATTTATTGTTGAAAGTAAAGGGCGTCTATTAAGTCCTTAAACGCAACAAAAGACTGTTGCCCTCGGCACCACACTATTTAGTGAGCAAAGCAGATAAGCGAGCAGCTAATTGGCATTTGCTGTATCCTCTGGAGATTCACTTGTTTATGTTGGACCAATATCCACCTACCTGTTTAATAGTACTTTACTGGGTACCTGTGCTGGCTACTTTTATGTTAGCGTCTTTTGAAGGGACGGAACTTCAGTTGAGAAAATGCCTCCATATGATCAGATTGTAAGGTGGTGCCGACCCTGGATTGATGGTCCTGATTCTATAAGAAAGCAGGCTGAGCAAGTCATGAGGAGCAAGCCAGTAAGCAGCACTCCTCCATGGCCTCTGCATCAGCTCCTGCCTCCAGGCTCCTGCCCTGTTTGAATTTCTGCCTTGACTTTGATGATGAACAGTGATATGGAAGTGAAAGCCAAATAAACCCTTTTCTCCCCAACTTGTTTTTGGTCCTAGTGTTTCATTGCAGCAATAGTAACCCTGACTAGGGCAGCACCCATTGTGGGCCAACCACTTTGTTGGTCTTGGGGTATGTGGAAAGGCAGTGGGAGTGGGGCTGTCTCTGACTCTTTTGCCTGCTCTTGGGATCCTTTTCCTGCTACTGAGTTGCCTTGTCCGGCGTTGATAGGAGGGTTAGTGCCTTGTCTTATTGTAACTTGTTAGGCCATGTTTGATTGACATCCCTGGGAGGCCAGCTCTTTTCTGAAGGGAAACGGAGAAGGAGCGGATCTCGGGAGGACTGGAAGGAGGGGGGGGGGGAAACTGTGGTCAGAATGTAATGTATAAGAAAAGAATGAAAGTGAGATCTGGTCCCTGTTCTTGAGGACTTTACAGTTTAGTTAGGGCAGGAACATATTTGTGTGGCTCTGGCTTCCTGATGTGAAGGCACTAGGCACATAGGAAAGATAATCTTGTCGGAATGACAGACGGACTCTTACGAGTTGATCCCACGACTAAGGCTTAGAAGTTAGCAAGGGAGAGAGTAAAGCATGTTCCAGAGTGTGGAAGAGCAGAACGAGGGTACAGACAGGCAGCATGGCTGACAGGGTGGGGTTTCTCATTTCCTGCACCTCAAATCTCTGTCTTCCACTTCACACAAGGGTCCTCAGATGTGGCTAGGGAGGAGTCCCTAACCTTGTAGGCACTGAGCGACTGGCCACGTCACTCTCAGAGCCACAGCCTTGTTGTTCCGCTTGTCCCACACACGCCTGCAGATAAATCACCCCAGCACAGTTAAATGGAGCTGCTGGCTCAGCAGGTCCGGTACAGGTCCTGAGACTCAGTTATTTCCTGTGTGTATGTATGTGCATGTTTGTATTGTGTGTGTAGGTGCATGCCTCTGTGGGCATGGAGGCCAGAGGAGGACATCAGGTGTCCTCCTGAGACAGGTCTCTCACCGGGCCTGGAGCTGGGCTACTGGGCAGCAACCCCTGGCTATCCTCCTGCCTCTTCTCCCCACTGCACCGAGGTTACAGGCACACCACACAGTCACACCAGCTTTGTATGTGGGTGTTTGAACTGAGGTCTGTGCACTTGGAGAACAAGAGCTTTACCTACTGAGCCATCTCCCCACCCAAGTATCTGCTTTTCTAGGTGGCTGTGCCTGCCTCCAGGCCAAGTCTATGCAGGATGGTTACTGTTTGGACCAAGTCTATGAGGGATGGCGCTGTTTAGGCTAAGTCTATGCAGGATGGTGCTGTTTAGGCTAAGTCTATGCAGGATGGTGCTGTTTAGGCTAAGTCTATGCAGGATGGTGCTGTTGTGGTGCACTCTGTGTGGGTGTGGGGTTATTCAGGACTGGTGAGTGTTGAGCCAGAGCTTGGATGACCTAAAACACCTCCTGAGTTGTGACAAGTCCTCCTCTGCTATGAGGAGACAGCTGTGGGGCCTTCGGAACAGCAGGGACTGCTAGAGACAACTCACAGATTCTCCCCTCCTCAGAGTCTAAGCGCGGACCTAGACCTTGAAAGTTTCAGCACACTGCCACATTTCAGCACTCCTCACTTTAAAAAAGTTGCCTCCATGTTGGAAGCAGTGCCCAGTGCTTGCTGCCAGTTCTCCAGGCTAGGTGCCATGCCTGTTTTTCTAGGTTGGTGGGCTTTCTCCTTCTAATGCTTTATCTATCTATCTATCTATCTATCTATCTATCTATCTATCTATCTATCTATCATGAACTCCGACCCTTAATGATGGGTCACCCATATATCCTTTCCAGATGCTGCCTAGTAAAATTCCCTGCCAGTGTGCCCTGGATCTTTCCCACGCCAGCTTTATATCATAATGTGATTGCTTTAATACATTTTTTGGACACGAAGACCTAGGGCATCACTTTGCATGTGTGACGTGCTCGGTAAATGGGCTGGATAAGCAGGTGAAGGATGCGGTGGACATGGAAACAGAGGGGAGGATCTTTTGAGAGCCACAAAGAACTCCTGGGTACACTCGTAGGTCTGGGGGTGTGGGAGTGCTCTCTCTACCCCTCTTAGCTGGGGTTGTTTAGCTTCATTTTACATTCAGTAAAGGGAGAAAACTGGGGCACAGACTAGAGACTGTGGGTACCCCTCTCCAGTCCTCTGAGGTTCCTCTCCTTGGCCCTTCCAACCATTCTGTCACCCAGTCCCATCAGTTTTGTGTCTGAGCTAGGTCTCAGCCCCTTCCACTGTTGGAATGACTCCAGGCAGAGCCCCAGGCTCTCCCCATCCCCTGGCCAGCCACAACCCTGTGACTGGGAGTTCAGGGTCTCAGTACCTTTTGGCATGAGTGCCCGTGTCAGACCCTCTGTGATGGGCCTCCAGAGTATGACTCCCTCTTTTTTACCCCTTATTTTTATCTTAGTTTATGTGTATGGGGTGTTTTTGCCTGTGTACATCTGTGCACCACATTCGTGCCTGGTGCCCAAGGAAGCCAGAAGGGGGGGGGCATTGGGTCTCCTGGAACTGGAGATGCAGACAGTTGTGAGCTGCCATGTGAGTGCTGGGAATCGAACCTGGGTCCTTTGGAAGAGCAGCAAATGCTTTTAACGGCGTGAACCATCTCTCCAGCCCTGTGTGTTCCCTCCTCACTGGAGTGCGACTGAGGCCAGAAGTCAAAGCCCGCATCTGCTGGTTCATTCCTGCCTCCACCCCTTGCCCCAGTGGCACGGCTCCTGACAGCTATCTGTGCTAACGAGGAATACTCTCTCTTGGCTGTAATAACTCATGTCCTGGAGTCAGAAGCACGAAGCTAACGCTGCGAGAGGCAGGGATGACGGAGGGTGGAGAAGACTGTCTCAGCCAGGAGCTCCGAGCGAGCAGGCGGCACAAAAGGCACTAAAACCTTGATGATATAAAAATACTGCTAAGAGGCCCAGCATGGTGGCGCACGCCTTTGATCCCAGCACTAGGGAGGCAGAGGCGAGTGGATCTCTGTGGGTTCAAGGCCAGGCTGGTTTACAAAGGAAGTCCAGGACAGCCAGGGCTTGTTACACAGAGAAACCTTGAAAAACAAAAACAAACGAACAAAAACCTGCTAAGAGCTGTGAGGTTTGGCTGTGTCCCTGCACATGGTCTGTACACACTACCTCACCTTATCCTTCAGCAGCCTCGGGGGCAGGGGGGGAGAGAAGGTGTTCTTCATGAGGATATGGGGTGGGAGTGTGGCTGGGTCTGCCTCCACAGTGCCTTTTCCTACATGTCTGCTGCCTTCCACACTCATGCCTCTCCTCTTTATTCTACTCTTGCTCAAGTGGCTCAGACAGAATGATGGTCAAAGACACTCTCCCGAGCTGAGTTCCCTAAGACTTGTTCTCTAGGGTGGCCCATGTTCCGAGGAACCCAAAGGTCACAGTGAGGTCAATCGTGTGTGACTTTGTAAATTAAAAAAAAAAAAATGAACTCCATTATTTTGCTAAGCTTTCTCCTCCTGCTGGCATCCTGGCCAAGATGGTCTATAGACCCTTCTTCCATTTGTCCAGACCTTCCCCACCCAGCTACGGAAAGATCTGACCAGTTCCAAGTGTGAAGAATCGAGAGCAGTTTGCAGACACTGAGGTCTTTATATAGAGACTTTGAAGCAAGGTGACGGGGGGGGGGGGGGGGGGGGGGGGGAGCTGGGGGAGCCCGCTTTTTGGAACAGAGTGGCAGGTCCTGCCTGAACTTTCTGATACTGATGTTAAGCGGAGAAAGGAAGGGAATGACCATAGCTCCCCCTACTGGCTTCTCTGAGTTAAACCCTTTAAGGGTAGGCTGATCCGTGGTGAGGGATCAGGGCTGTGATCATGGGAGCCTCACGAATCTGTTAGCAGGATCATCTAACTGCACAGATAAGCCAGCCTGTTAGTTCCCCTGCTCCATGCCTGACTTGGCATTTCAGTTTGTCACTTCTGCTCTGAGATGCCTTTGGCATCATCACATTCCCCTCTCCAAGCTCTGTTACCCCTAACCTGTCAGCTGTCTAACAGGTTTTCCCGGCACCTGCTTCTTTCCTCACCAGACTGAATTCTCTGCTAACCGAATCCATGTTTATGAGACAAAGACAACTGTATCCTGGAAACGCTCAGATCTGCATTCGGGATGAACCACACACGTTTGTTTTTTAATTTTTGTTTGTTTGTTTGTTTTGACAGGGTTTCTCTGTGTAGCCTTGGCTGTCCTGGACTCTGTAGACCAGGCTGGCCTCAAAATCCCAGAGATTCTCCTGCCTTTGCCTCCCTGAGTGCTGGGATGGCAGCCATGTGCCACTGTGCCCGGATGAACCTCGCAGTTCTTGGCAAGGGCCAGAAGGCCAACATGACCCAAAGCCGGTGCCAGTCCACCGGCCTCTCACTACCTTGGATGCTCTGCAGTAAACTCAGGTCCCCACTTTCAACCCCACCCCTTCCCCTGCCTTTTCTCAAACTGTTGCCTCTGCTGAGAAGGAAGGCTCTTCTCCCAGCTGGTCCGCAGCCACCCTCCACCCACCCTGAGGCCAAACTCCAATGGCTCTCACTCCTTCGAGCCTTCGAGGAGGCTGTCTCCTCCGTGTGCTCACACCGCTGGATGACCAGAATGGCCCCTGTTCCTCAGGATCTCGCTGCGGGTGGAATACCCTGTTTCTATTTTGGCTGATACACAGCTTGTTGTGTAAGAAGCCCTTGAAAAGTGTGAAGGGAATGAAGAGAATGTGTGTTCTGGGTGTCTGTATTGCACAGCGACTCTGATTTCCATATTCGTATAAGCATGCCGGGGAATGGTGTGGGGTGGCCCTGAACTCCTATCTGGATATACAAATGAGATGGTGGCCCGGTTTTTTCCCCCCTCAGTTATTTTCCAGTGAGTTGCTCAGCCACTGTGCCTGTCCTGTCTTTCCATGGCCATTCTGGAATAAAGTGCCGGGGCCCTGGTGGCCACAGAGGCAGCTCCTAAGCACCATGCCAAGGCGTCTGGGGCTTGTAGCACCACCTGGGTGTGTGGGTGTCTGGAATCAGTGGTGCTCTTCTTTTGCACCCCAGGCGACAGGCCTCCCTGTCCCAGGTGAGATGGATTTTTAGGCTCATTTATTTCCACTGTGGCTCTTGATAGGGTTATCTTGCTGGGATAAAGGAAAAGAAATGGCAGTTTTGAGCCCTAATTCTGTGCCAGGCCAGTGGCCACTATTAGTCTTGGCCAAGCATCGCAGTAGCCACTGAGGTTGGTGTCTTTTGCCTGGTGTTACAGATAAACAGAGTGATTTTTGGAGTCCCACAGTCTTCTGGCCAAAGAGCAGTGAGCACTGCTGCCTCGGTCTATGCGGTACTGTCTCCATTCATGTCCCACACCCTGAGTTAGAATACAGCTCCTAGCTTGGCTTTGCCTGCAAGAGGCCCTGGCAAACTTCTGTAACTCTGGCCTAGCCCTCTTGTTCAACCTCAAGGTCAAAGAAGAGACCAGTTTTTGGCACCCAGAACAGTAGGTCTTTAAAAAGAACTTTCTTTTAAAAATGTCTTTGGGGTTGGGCATGTGGCTCCGTATAGAAATACTTACTTGGTATGTGTGAAGCCCTGGGTTTAGCCCCTAGCCCTTAGGAAAAGACGTCCTTCCTGTTTGCAAGCCAAGTCTTACCCAGAGCCCTGATATAATTAGCAAGAAGTCTTTGTGTGTGTATGTGGTGTTGCTGGTGGGACCCAAGCACCCAAGCTCCCTTCTTGTCCCCTGGTGTAGTATCAGTCACTTTTCTAGATTCATGGAAGTCACAGCACATAGATTTCTTTTGTATCTATCCTTCTTCCTTCCTTCCTTCCTTCCTTCCTTCCTTCCTTCCTTCCTTCCTTCCTTCCTTCCTTCCTTCCTTCCTTTCTGCCTTCCTCCCTCCCAAGACAGGGTTTCCCTGTATAGCCCAAGCTGTCTTAGAACTAGCTGTGTAGACCAGGCCGGGCTCAGATTTAGAGATCCACTTGCCTCTGCCTCCAGAGTGCTGGGATGAAAAGCCTGTGCACTATGGACTGCTAACAGCACACAGGTTTCAGCGCTATTTAAGACAGAAGACACTGCAGGAGCCCCCTCGCAGGAGCCCTGGTGGAATCTCTTCTGTTGCCAATTCCTACTCCAGTCCAACACTCTCCAGGGAATGAGGGAGGAGGAAGAAACATGGCGCCTGGCCTAGCACCCTCATGCAGACACCTGCATGACACATGCAGCAAGCCTCTGGTCTCCCCTCCCTCCTTTCCTGGGATGGACTTTTGCTTTGGGCTTCCGCTTGGTGTGTAGAGGGGGACCAGCCCCTGGAGGACCCCAGGCCTAGGTGCTGGTGGCAGGGCTCAGCCATGCCGCCAAGTGACAGATACTGCTGTCACCCTGGCTCACTGCCCATGCTTTAGGTAGCCCAAGCTCCTAGCAAGACTGTGTGTAGTTGCTGGCACCAAGGGGTCTATCAATCACAGCCACTCCTCTTTCCAGGTCTCTGAAAGCTTTCATGGTCCAGAATAGAGATGGTTTGAATGGGCAATGGGAAGGGATGCTGGTTTTAAAATGGCAAGAGACCTGTGTCTTGGTCTGGCCTGGGTTGCTGTGTGCTCTGTGCAACTGTGTGCAACTCTCCAACCTAGTATCTGGTTTCAAGCCAAACTGCACCCTGTTCCCATTCCAGTACTTCAGTTAAGACATTGAGGGAACGCAACCATAAAAGCATGTGCCCTACGCGATCCTGATGTTCCCTTTTGATAGAGATTTGTATTAATTGCTTTAGATGCTGCCGACACCTAAACAGAAATCTGGCAGAAGCACCTGACGGGCAGTCCCCGTAAAGAGCTGGGTGGGGGTGGGGGGAATGGGGCCAGGCTCTCTGAACCACCTGCTGAAGGATCCTGGGAGCTGGGTGTGGGGAAGCACATGAAATATGATCGTTGCCAACTCTGCGGGCGCGGTTCAATCTGGACCAAGAGATAAGGGCCAAGACCTGAGGCACCAGAAAGGGAGACGAGGCAGGTCTGGCCAGACACATCCCAATAGGTGGAAAGAACAGAATAAAAGGCAGCAAAGTCAGGTGGTGACACAGGGGCCGGAAGCAGAAGTGGGAAGGGAGCAGAGGAGTCAGGAGAACTGCCACCCGATGGATAGTGGGTAGCTGAGAAGAGTGAGGCAGGATGCTAGCTTGTTAGGGGTAGGGGGGAGACGGCAAAAGGAACAGGGATGAAGCAACAAGGCCACCAGCAAGGCCTAGGTGGGCTCTGTGGTGGGCCCTGGGCCCTGGTGACAGCCTGGATGGGTGCTGGGAGCTCAGGGAAGAGGAAGCTGGAGGCGCTTGGATGTCTGGGAAGCCCGGAAGATGGGTGGTCTCGGGCCGCGAAGGCAGCATCCATTACCTGCATGATGCGGACGTAGTCCGTGCGGTGCAGCTCGCCCTCCTTGATCACTTTCTTCTTGAGCGTGGCAAGGTTCCTCTCCAGGTGCTCCCGCTGGCGGGCATACTCCTGCTGCAGGTCTGTGTTCAAGCCTGCGATCTCCACCTGGTGTTACCGGGGACACGCTCAGCAAAGGAGGGGAGGTGTGAGGCACCGAGGAGCAGGCAGGGCGGCCTGGGAAGGGCAGGACACTCGGAGCTCACCATGTCTGCCCGCTGCACGTACTTCTCGAAGAGGCCTCGGACCTTCTCCTTCAGCAGCCGAGGCTCCTGGATGTAGGCCACGCAGTTGTGAAGGTCTGTCTTAAAGCGGCGGACCAGCACTTCCAGGTCCCTTTCCTGTAACCAGACAGGGGCTTCAGGCAGAGGTCAGTGACACAGAAAGGGCCCAGACTGTCGTTGGCTGGGACTGATGCCTGACTGCTGGGGACCAGCCTGGGCACAGAAACCTGGATGGGCAGCCAGCCCAAAGGCAGCAGGGCTGAAAGGCTTGTACGCCTGCCTGGGCTGGGTACCCTGCCTGAATAGCTGCCAAGATGACAGGGCTTGAGACCACACACACACACACACACACACACACACACACACACACACACACACA